TGATCTTATATCCTGCCACTTTGCTGAATCTGTGGATGTGAGATCTTTTAACATTTTACAAGAAACATGAGACATAGAATGTGAATTGTCCAGAATGATGGCAAAACCAGTCTGACTCATAATCCAGGGTATCCTTCCATGACACTTCAGGAACAAAACAAATAACTAGAGTATACAGTGTTGGTCAAAAGCTTCCCAAGCAAACCCCTAATTAGAAAACAACCATCTAACCATCTGCAGTTCATTCCTCAGCCTCTACATTCTGAGTAGACAGTTGTACTTAAACACAGATACAGTGAAAGCTAAAGGCTACATGTAGTGAAGTTAAAAAAAAAAAAAAAAATCCTGACCAAGCTATAAAGGAGATAATCAGTCTTTAACCAATCCCTAAGCGAATTCTTTTGGCCACTGCTTTTATTTTAACACAAAGTCCATCACTCTTTTCAAAAGCTTTTCAGAATACTGACGTTTCTAACATATCATGATCTCAGAATCCCTTCTTTACATTTCTATCCAGATCAGAAAATATTCACCTTTTTCACAATAAAATATAGATGTCATCAAACTTTGATAGAAACATAATATTCTCTCACCTTTCTCTGATAAAGTTCCTCTGGAGTTGTAGACCTCAAACTCACAAGGCGGTAATTTTTAGTGATGGTCCGTGGACGTTTCCGTGGTGGTGCAAATCTCTCCATTTCAGTCACTAAGTAAAGACCTTGCTTTATATAACCAAAGTAGTGAGCCTTGGCAGATGTTTCATGATCAGAATCAGAATCCTCTTCTTCATCTTCTTCTCCAGATCTAGTCTCCAAACGAGACCTTTTGGGAGCAAGTTTAATCTCACACTAAAAAATTGAAAAAGAAGATGCTAAATTATCAGTGAGACACTAAAGACAAATTTTAGAGATAATATAAAACAAATATTTATTTAATTCTCTGATTAATAAATTACATCATCAATATGATTAAGACTAACAATGAATTTCAAAGGACCCAAGAAGCAACAAAAATTATGTAAATATGTTATCAACTCTACATCTCCAAAGCTAAAGCTTTTTGAATAACAATTAATATAGCTCTGTAAATGTGTGCCTTATGATACTTTTAAATAACTAAAGGTACAGGGAATATTAATTTCTTTTAATTTGATATTTCTCTACCTGCCATGAAAAGATGGTAATTTAGAATGGCTCTATCTCCCCCTCTATTAAACATGTTTAATGTGGGTATGCCATTGTAGGATACGCACTGGACTGCTACTCACAAGGTGGGTGGTTCAAACTCACCAGTCACTCCTTGGAAACCCTGCACCCTAAAGAGCAAAATAACCACACATTTTCTTCACTGTTATAAGATGGAATTCTTTATTTTACTACACAATCATTTTTTTCCCTTTTCATACTGCACCCAACATATCATTCCAATTAGACTTTTATCCGTAAACACAAAAGTACATCAATGGGTCACTAAAATTTAAAAACCAGTTATTTACACTTCCAGCAAGATGGCAGACTGGGCAGACACACTGCACAGACTCTCTACAACAAAAATGCCAGCAGCTCCTAGAGAGAAAGATGAAGCTTTCTGCTCCCATAAAAGTTCAAAAGCCACAGTCAAGGTACGTTGTGGCCCCTGTGTGCACTATGACCGTGGGTGAGCTATAGCAAGGTAAGCTACAGCCCGGGTAAGCTATGGCTCCAGGTGAGATGCAGACTCGGCTGAGCTAAACCCCGGGTGAGTCACAGCCACAGGTAAGCTACAGGCCCCGTGAGCGGTGGCTCGGGTAATCTACAGCCCAGGTGGGTTACAGTCCGAGGTGAAGTAAGACCCTGGAGAAGCCAAGATATCCAAGCAAAAGAAGAATTATGAAAGCATATTCAAAATGCCTCGAGATAAGACGCTTGATCCCAGTAAAGGGCCTGGGATTGGAGGTGGCAACGATGTTTACCACTGTTACTTTGAAACTTTGAACTATATAATTGTTCAGACAAATCAGCTATGGAAAACCCTGTGGTGCACAGTTCTACTCTGATACATATATAGTTGTCATAAATCAAAATAAACTTAGTGGTGTATGATAAAAAAGAAAGAACGCATCTATGATGGCTACAGAGGGTAGGGAAAATTATTCATGGGCTAGAGAGCAGACACCTGCTGATACAAATGACAGGCAGACAATATACAATAAGAGGGAGGTTAGCAGAGGAAAGATGAAGGTTTCAGGAATGTAATAGTTAAAGTGAATAGAAGTAAATGTTGTTAACTGCTGGTACATGGAGAGGACTGCAAGCATGTAAAGAAGCAAAATATATGATCTGTGCAATGTAAAACTGATGATCTGCTCTGTAAACTGTCATTTAATTCACAATAAAACGTTTTTTAAAAATCATTTATTTATATTTTTGGCAATACATGTTTACTCTGAGACACACTTATTGCTTTAAAAGGAAAAGTATTACCTCCAAACTTAAAAATCCACCGTCATGGGCAGCGGTAACTTGAGGTGATGGTTCAAACCATTCACAGGATTTCCCCAGTAAATTCTTCAAGGTTTTCACAGATGAGACAGTCAAAGCACCAGAACAACGAGCCAAAGTAACTGCGCTCTCTGCCCACCAATTCACATCTATCAGTGGGTAAAAGGACCCTTTATCTAATGGAAGAAAAGTACATTTATACAAATGGCACTCAAATAGGATTTAATTACAGTACATGTCTCCAATAATCAATTTCAAAACAATATTCACCTACATTAATTACTTAGGTCATAAAGGTGTACTGAGTCCCTAGATGGGACAAACTGTTAAGAACTTTAATGCTAGCCAAAAAGTTGGTAGCCTGAACCTATCCAAAGGCACCTGAGAAGGCAAGCCTTGAGATCTGCTTTCAAAAGGTAACAACAGCCTTGAAGACAGACCTTATGGAGTACTTGTACTCTGTGCGCTGGGTCAACTCTACAACTAACAACAGCAACAGTTATCACTCGAATTCAGGTGACATAAACCCCAGGTTAGATACAAAACAGTCATTCATTTAATGAACATCTAAGTGCTAATAAATTGCCTGATACAGCCTAAGGTTCTAGGAATACAGAGGCAAAAAAAACTAAGAACATTCTTTCAAGAAACTAATATATTCTGGGGAGAGATTTGTCATGATTTTCAACTAACTTGAAAGGCAGGTATGTACAAAGTGTATATAAAAAAAGTTTTAAAGAGGTTTTGGGAAATGTTCATATATTATTTTTCAGATAAATAATATGGGAAAATTATACCCTTTAGAAAAATTTAAGAGAGAGATATATAATATCTTTCCAGTGCTCATTTCTTCTTAAACTTGCAACTCAATCAGTCAAAGGAAAAAAGTATTCAAGGCCAGAAGGAATTGTTAGGGATAAAAATGAATTATAAGTCACCAAACAGAGGCATTTAAAAAGAAATGGCATAATATTTATTATAATTTTATTGTACTTTTTATATCTCATTTCTTCTACAAGGGATCTTATAGGTAAACAACAGTAAAGCATATATTTTAACATATATAACACATCAGACTATGAAAATATAGAAAACAGAAATTCAGTACCATAACAATAATTCATTTTAACTAAAAACCTGTAATAGCTAATTATTTTTCTCTAACTTAACCATAAAGCAATTCATATCAATAAAGAATTCCAAAATTTTTTTAAAAACACAAAGTGACTTAAGCTTATATTGTTGCTGTTGAGTACCGTTGATTCAGTTCCAACTCAAAATGACCCTGTATAGGATTTCATAGAGGAGCAGTCGGTAGGTTTGAACACCAACCTTGTGGTTAGCAGCCCAGTGCTTATCCTATGTAAAAAGTAGGGTAGGGAGAAACAGAATCACATCATTTAAATAAGACATCTGCTTTCTGTTTAAGGTGCCCTGGTGGTGTGATGGGTTACACGTTGGGCTGCTAAGTGCAAGTTTAGTGGTTCAAATCCACCAGATGCTCTGCAAGAGAAAGATGATGCTTTCTGCTCCTATAAAGATTTACAGCCTTGAAAACCCTACACACAGTTGTTATGAGTCAGAAGCTACTTGATGGCACACAACCACCACCACCTTCTTCTTTAACGTATTTTTTTTTTTCTAAAAAGTATTTCTGGGTAAGTATTTTAGATAATTAGTTAACAAAAGTAGGTAAGTCAAAACATTATAAGTGACATTAATGAATCAATTTTAAAGTTCTTTAATTATGGGTTAAAAGCATATTATGATACAGGTTTTCAATCATGAGACTATCGCAGATTCTATAGGAGACACTTGAACATTAAAAGATGTTTAATTTTGGTAGTTTCATCTGAAGAAAAATTAAGCATTTACTCAAAATAACCCTTTAAGGTTTTTGTTTTGTTTTGTTTTTTGAGGGGCAGGGGTTTATTTTTTGTTTGTTTGTTTGCTTTAATCTACCAATTAAATTGTCTGTATTACTTTTATTTTGATAAAATTTTGATATTAAATTTGATTTTATATTTGTCTATTTATAAAAATTATGTATGTTATTTATGAGTTCCTGCATTGTACCCTGTTCACTTCCCTAAAAATCCCCATCGTCATGAGTATTGTTATGAGTTCTGTGTGGCCACTGCAATGGATTACTGAACCCAGATGTGAAGCAGAGAGTGCTGTGAGAAGGGTGGTTGGTGTCAGAATAGGGTAAAGGAGGTTGTAGGATAGAGGCAAGTGTGACCTCCACCTTACAGGAATCTGCCTTGGGCTGGTTTTGAATTTGAGTCTCCTTTCAACTTGTGAAAAAGTCAGACATGGCTGCTGCACAATTTTTGCTCTGACTCACACTGGCCCGATATTGACTTTCCAAAGCTATCCATCTTTATGGGGGTACCCAGCTTGGTGGAAACCCTGGTGGGTTCAACTGCCAATCTTGTGGTTAGCAAGCCAATACCTATCCAACAAGGCCACTAGAGAGAACTATTCTGTATGTGTTCCTTGAGGGCTGTCTTTCAGCTATTTCCCCAAAAGACACTTCAAAAAGACTATAGTTAACACTTTAATTTGGTATATCATTTCAATGATGACGATGGAAGGCCCATGCCCCTTGCCCTGGGTTCTGATTTAGCGCTTGGAGAGAGTCTATTATATAAACACCTGTTGATCATATCTATTGCCTTTCTAAACTCTATGCAATCACAGCATTTCTTCCAAAGTGAAGCATAAGTATCTAAAGATCTTTTGTATTATTAGGTTACTGACAGACCTCCTCATATTACAAGTCTCATAAGGTTTTAATTTCTTTAAATTTCTCATATTTCAGATGACCCACCTTTCATTTTTTTTCTCTTCTCAGTAGAGAGTCTCCAGTTAGGATTAATGTCATCATAGCCTGGCTAAATAAACAAAATAGTTACATGAGTGATACAACCATGTAGAAAACAATGAGAAAAATCATAAAGAACTTTGGATTTTTTGATATATCTAAGATATAGATAGCAATAAAGCTTTTCTTGGATCTCTCAGTAACAACTAATTGAAATGTATCCTTCTCTTTAACAATCTTAAAATGCCAAATTGTTCTTACACTTAAAATATGCACATACAGGTACTGTTAGAATTCATAGACATATTCACACACCTGCACACCTGTATACTCTGAGTCAATAAACATGGTCTAAATACCTGTCCTAGCGCCACACCAGTGTACAAAGACATCCTCCTCCATACCTTGGTTTCCATATCTCTAAGAGTTCACTAGGTTACCTCTATGCTACATCTCAGTTCTAACTTTTTATCACTATAAATTTAACTAGGGAAAAAATATAACGACACAATTCTCCAAATGAATATATTCTAACCTAATTTCATGCCAACATAGTATTTATTATGCCTGCTTTAAGAATGATGACACATCAAGATCTCCCAAATATAATGAAACAATTGAGATTAAGTCACTGTCACACAAACTCTTGGCTCAATTATTTAATCTCTAGACTATAACAGTATGGAAAAAGAGCAGTCAGAAATAATTTAGATGTTAATTTGAAATCTTAAATCTGAAGAAAGCCATGATAAAGCTAAAACAAACTGAATGTATTTTTTCACCTAAGATCACTACACAGACCCTCTACAATGAAGCAGAAATATTTTATTTAAAATTTATTACTGGCTTCCTTTTTTTTTTTTTAATGTTTTATTGTGAATTATGTGATAGTTTACATGGAAGAACATTAGTTTTACATTCATTCTATCATATATCGGTTCATTGCCATGGTTACAATCACCTCCATGCAATCCTTCCCCCGTACCCCCCAGGTCTTCAGCACACAGTCGCTCTCCCTCTCTGGATCTAAAGTCTCCAGCTGCTCCATTGCTCCACGTCATCATCTCTGGCTCCATTTCAGGCATCACTGCTTCTCTGGGTAGGGTCCCGCTCTCTGCTCTTCTCCCTTGATGGTCCTAGGAACCTCCACTCCTAGACTGAAAAGTTAATCACTCCCCTCCTTGCTATAAAACATCTACCTTTATATTTCCGACGCTCACAAACAGTCCTGATAACAATTATTCACTATTGCATCACAAGAGACCTGTCTGCATTTCATTGCATCAGCTCCGCCTCCTAGTCAGACTGAATACTACTCACTGGAGATTCTACCTTCCTCCAGGCCCTCTGGATCTAGGTTCCCTCTTGAAAGCTTGTAAGCCAGTCACTTCTTGCCTTTATAGCCCCCCGCCCTCCATTTTGGGTAGCCAATGTCCAAGTTGCCCATCCTTGTCTACTCTGTGTGTGGAGGCGGTGGGAATGATTCTTGCTGTAAGGACTTGTTCCCTCTTTTGAGCTACTGCTTCCATAGGTGTAGGTCAAGTTCATCAAATTGTATGAGAATCGTTTTTTTTTTTTCCCTCTTCTTTTTACTTCTGGTTGAGCTCTGATCATCCAGTCACTGAAGCCAAGATAAGTGGGTATTATCTACAAGTGTGGGTGTTCTTATGCATATACCCTCTCTTCTTATCAGCTGGACGCTTCACTCTCCACTCTAGTCCTCTGTGGTTATGTCACTGACTCTGGGTCCAAGAGTCCCCAGGTCTTGCCACACTACTGGCTAACCAGGTCTTCACCAGGGTTCACAGAAGTCTATTGAACGTTGTAGGGCTTAGCTCACCATGGCTTCCATTTTAAAATATCAAAATAGATATTATTTCCTAAGCCTAAAAGGACATCCTGCTGTACACCACCAGGATAAATCACTGAGCAAATCTCACTGAATTTTAAGACATTAAAATACTACACAGCATCTTCTCAGAATCACAACATCATAAAATTTAAAATAATCTATAGGAAGATCAAGAAAAATAGTCAAATACATGAAAACTGAATAACACCCTGCTTAAAAACTATAGGATAATAGAAAAAAAATTTTAAATCCTTGAATCAAATGAAAACTAAAACACAACATACCAAAACATTAGGGGCACAGCAATAGCAGAGCTCAGAGGGCAATTTATAGACATAAATGCATACGTCCCAAAAGAAAAAAAAAAATTAAATATCTTACATAAACACCTCCAACAATTAAAAAGTAACAGCAAAGAAACCTATGGTCACCAGAAGACAAGAAATAATAAAGATTCCCGCAGAAGTAAATGAAAAAGCAATAGGAATCAACATGACAAGAGAGGTCATTGTTTCTTTGAAAGGATGAATAACTACTGGGAAATCTAAGGAGTTCTGGTAGCACAGAGTGGTTATGAGTCAGGCTGCTAATCTCATGGTCAGCAATTTGAAACTACCAGTGGTTCCGCATGAGAAAGACCAGGCTTTCTGCTCCCGTAGACTTACAGCCTCAGAAACTCTATACAAGGTCACTACGAGTCAGATTAGACTCCAACGGCACACCACCACCACAACTGGGAAATCTAACAAAAGGAAAGAAGATGAAAATAGTACAAATAGGAAAAGAAATGGGTGATGTAACAGCAGAGCCAATGGAAGTAAAAAAGGCAAAAGAACACTATAAATTTGAAAATCTAGAATAATCAAATTTCTAGAAACATACTACTACCCACTTAAAGTAACAAGGACTGAAATGGAAAACGTGAACAAACCTATAATAAAAATTTGATCAAGTCATTTAAAAACATTCAACAAAAAGAAGTTTGGCCCTGATGGCTTTACTGGTGAATTCTACCCATCAGATAAGAGCTAACACCAATTCTACTTATCTATTCCAGAACATAGAAAAGGATGGAAAACTCCAAATTCATTTTATGAAGTTAACAGACTCTGACAAACCCAGGTAAAGACACCACTAAAAAAAATTAAAGTATAGAACATATCTCTTCTGAGCATACCAGCCAATCTAAAACCTACCACCAATGAGTCAAATTCAACACATAGCAACCCTGTATAGAGCTTCCAAGGCTGCAAATCTTTATGTGAGCAGAAAGCTGCATCTTTCTCCCACAGAGCAATTGGTAGGCTGAAACTGTCAACTTTACAATTAACAGTCTAGTACTGATGCTACAATGCCAACAAGCCTCCAGTCATGAACACTGTTGTTTATCAACAGTGCCATCAAGTCAGTTCTGACTCACAGTGACCCAATGCACAACAGAAAAAGACACTTTGTCCAGTCCTGCACCATCCTCACAAATGTTTTTATGGGCTTGAGCCCATTGATACTGTCAATGTACCAATCCGTCACATTGGGAGTCATCATCTTTTTCATTGACTCTCCACTTTACCAAGAATGATGTCCCTCTCCATGGACTAGTCCGACATCTTATGAACACTTATTGTTAGGTGCCAATGAGTCACTTCTGACTCACAGCAATTCTATGCACAACAGAACAAAATATTGCCTGGTCCTGCCTCATCATCACAATTGTTGCTACACTTGAGCCCACTGCTATGGAGTCACTGTGCCAATCCATCTCATTGGGAGATCTTCTTTTTCGCTGCCCCTCCACTTTACAAAGCATACTGTCTTTCTCCAAGGACTGCTCTCCCATTGATAACATGTCTGAAGTATGAAAGTAGAAGTCTCACCATCCTGGCTTCTAAAGAGCATTCTAGCTGTATTTCTTCGAAGATATAGATGCAAACATAATGCAAAAATTATCTACAAAATCCTACCCAACAGAATCCAGCAACATATAAATAATAATAATACATCATGACCACATGGGATTCATACCAGGGATGGTTCAATATTAGCAAAACAGTCAACATAATCTACAACATAAATAAAACAAAGGAAAAGAACCACATAGTTAGTCCTTACCAGTTGATGTAGAAAAGGCATTTGACATAATTCAATACCGAATTCTTGATTAAAAACACTCAAAAGAAAACAAGAAAAGAAGGGGTATTCCTCAACATAATTAAAGACATACATGCAAAACCAACAGCCTGCAGTGCCCTCAGCAGAGAAAACTGAAAAGCATACTCCTTTTGCAAACAGAAATTGGACAACTGTGCTGGAAGTCTCAGTCAGAGCTGTAAGGCAAAAAAGGGAAATTAAAGGCATACAAATTGGCAAGAAGAAGTACAAATCCATTTGCAGACGATACAATACTATACACAAATAATCCAAAAGACTCAGAAAGAAAATGATTGGGACACTGAAAGATTCAATAAAGTAGCAATGTGTAAGATCAATTTAAAAAACAAAAACAAACTATATACAGCTACAATGCAATATCAATCCAGATTCCAGTATCAGTCATTAAAGAGATGGAAAAACTGATCACTAACTTTTATGGAAACGAAAGAGGCACGGGATAGGTAAAATATTACTAAAGAATGATGTAGGAGGTCTCTCACTTACAGATCTCAAAACCACACACAAAAAAACCCATAGCCACAGCAGTTAAAAGAGATCAGTACTGGACTGCTAATCACATAGTTGGGGGTTCAAACCCACCAGCTGCTCCTTGGAAACCCTATCCAGGGTCACTATGAGTCAGCATTTAACAACAGTACAAGAAGGCACATAGATGAAAGAAACAGAATTGAGAACCTGGTAGTAAACTCATCCACCTAGTGTCAGCTGATCTTTCACAAATGGCTGAAATTCATTAAATAGGGAAAAATACGGTTACTTTATTAAATGATGCTGACAAAACTGGATATTCATTTGCATAAGAATGAAACAAGATCAGTATCTCACACCATATTCAAAAAACTTTTTAAATCATAGATATAAGACCAAAATGCAAAACCAAGAACTATAAAGGTCATCAATGAAAATACAGGGACAAATTTAAGTGCTCTGATACATGGCATAAATATACTTATCAAACATAACTGAAAACACACAAATAGCATAAAACTAATTATATGAATGGGATCTTCTAAAAATGAGGTAGTTTGTGATCAAGACATCACCAA